CTGGCTCCCCGTAGGCTGCCTGGGCTCCTGTCCTGCTGCTCTGCAGCAGCGATGTTCTTGACAAGTGGCTGGTACTGAGGGGGAGGATGCTTTTGTCATGCCAACACCCGAAATGCTTTAATACTCAAAATGTGATGGCAGACCTGTAAGGAGGCTGGGGGAGAGAATGCTTTATGGTTAAAAGCTGCTTAATTCCAGACGTGACTTATAAGGAGCAGGCCTGTTAGATTTCTGGTACCTTGTATCGTGCATCTGTGATGGAAATAAAGCTATACAGCATCCAGAACCTGCTGCTTCAAGGGAGCAGTCTGTGTGCAGGCTTAATGTGCAGCATGCGGGGAACCTTGCCTGACTTTCCAGGGTCAGTATCTGTAGCGTGGCTGCTGTCATGCAGTAACGCCTTATGCCTCGCTGGGGCAGCAACATGTAGGTCTAAGTTAATTTTGCAGGGAGTGAGTTCATGAGTATTCCTATGGGGGGATGTCTTAGGCTTGCTGAATTTGAGAGCTTTGAAAAAGAGGTGGGAATGTGGAGCTGAGGATGTGGTTTTTTAAGTGTACTTGAACTGATACTTTAGTAGGGGGTCTAGGATTTTTTTCTCCACTTCAAAGTAGGCAATGACTTGAAAGCTGTTTCTTATCCTGACCTTTTGGCCTTGTTTGGGGCTTTCACTTGTATCTTAGTGTTAGTTACTGGCCAAGTTGCTGCTTTTACTTTTTCAACTCTCTTTACCAGTATAACTGCTGCTACTCTTCTTCCTTCTGCAGGTGGTTGACATAATGCGTGTAAATGTAGACAAGGTGCTGGAACGAGACCAGAAACTATCAGAGCTAGATGACAGGGCAGATGCACTTCAGGCTGGTGCCTCACAATTTGAAAGTAGCGCAGCAAAACTCAAAAGGAAGTACTGGTGGAAGAACTGCAAGGTGAGTTTCCTAGTGCCATAACCTCCTTCATTAGAAGGCATTAGGGCTAGTCTTCTCCTGCAGGGTTTTGAGAGGGTGGTTGGGGCTTAATAACTATTTTAAATGCATAGGATTCTTTCACTGTCTATCTGTCAGGGAAGATGTGAACTTGCCAGTCTCTTCTGAGTATTACTCTGTGACAATCTCTCTCCCCAGATGATGATCATGATGGGAGTGATTTGTGCCATTGTGGTGGTGGTGATTGTAAGTAAGTACTGAAACAGCCCAGGATCAAAGGTGAAGAGCACCAACTCTAGAGTACTTTAAACTCTTCTTTTTTTTTGTTTGTGATCTGGAGGGTCTTAGTTGCATAAGTGTTAACTTCAGTCCTTGGGGAAGGGAGGTAGTGGTGCTGGAACTCCCACACTTATTGTGTAAAAGCCATGCTTTAGATAGTAATGGAAGGAATTGGGGGTGGCCATCACTGTAGAAATGGGAAATTCTGTCTGCCAGATCAGCTAAGCCCGTAAGTATGAGGGGCATTTACCCTGGAGTGGGTGGGTTGGCAAGTCCCTTCCCTGGTGGGGGGTTTGGAAGTCTCTGGGGGACCTTTGGTGTGTGTAACTTGCCCTTTTGTTCTTTCCTTTTTTTTTCCCTATTGCTTTGTCTCCAGTCTACTTTTTTACTTGAATGTAGCTCCTTCAGTCTGCAGCCTACTGTCCCCTGTCACCTTGCCTGTTTCTTCTTGCCCCTGAATCTTTCCTTCCCTTCCCTTCCACCTAGCTTCTTCATTGATTTCTTTATTGGTTTTAATTTGTCTTCTGTATAGGACTCTGAAGTGCTCTACTGAACATGGTTAGACTCTTCAACAGCCACTGCAGCTTTAGGGAGGGCCATCTGAGTTTAGAGGAAAGGGAAGTAGAGGAGGAGTGGGTAGCTAATGCTCCTGCTCTTCTGCAGGGAATTTTTGTGGTTTATTTTTGGGTATGAGCTTGTCAAATAGTGCCTGTGTGGACTCTAGCAAAATAAGAATGCCTTAACGCAGTGCCTTTGGGGATGAAGGACTTCAGCATGTGAAATTCTTTAGTATTCTGCCTAAAAAGAGTGGCAGCATAACTTAAGCTTTTCATTGAGCTTCTGAAATAAAGGCTCATTTGTGTTGGTCAGTGACTGTGAGCCATCTGACTGAGCTAGATATAGTCATCTAGATTTCTCTAGCCGTGGAGAGATGAGCACTTAAAGAAAATATTTATTCTGCCTGTTGTTATTTTGAGATGACTTGCTGCCTGAACGTGGCCATTTCAGTTATTATAAAGGAGAACCTACATGATTACCTCAGTCAAGTGCAACAGATTAAACACAAAGTGAAAAGGGTTTTCTTACAATCTAGAAGGCATGATGGGAGTAAAATCTCCTGCCAGAAAGAACAAAAGATCAACAGTAAGGAGTCTCGTGGGCAGTGTCAAATATTCTTTTCATCTATGCAGACACAAGTCAGGATCCTGTGGCTTTCTACTGTCTTGTAGCTTTCTGGAAGACTTTGGGGTAGTGGCAGAGTGGGACGTGGTGTTCTGCTTTTGTGTTACTGGGTTGAATGTCAAAGGAAGTCCACTTCAGATGGAGGTAAAGGAGACTGGAGGTGTGCCAGATGAGACTGAATGAGCCACACAGCTTTCTGATTACAAATACCTGTTCTGTTTCTGCTACTGCAAAGTCTGAACTCTCAGCAGGAGTTTGAAAATACTTAGAATGGTTAGCTAGGGATTCAAAGGGAAATGGTGCTCTGGGCGTGGGCATAGCAAAGTGATGTCAGAGGTCCCAGTTTGGCAGCTTAGATTTCTAGAGATCTTGCCTATCAAACTGAAATCCTCCTACTTGCTATGGGTTCTCTTGAATTTAGATCTGAGGTGGTCTCTGCTGGAAGCAGACTTGCAGCATGGAATTCTGTGGCTTTCTGTAAGCAATCTCCTTGTTCTCCTTCAGAAATAACAAGCCATGAATTGCTTGAATGCATTGTCAAACCTGGGGTTAAATGAGCTGTCCTGTTCTGCAGAGTCTTCTGGGAAACGTGCATCTTGTCTTTTTTTTACAAGCTGAGCTGTAGCCTGTAATCTAGACTGGAAAGAGGGTGCTCCTTTAATTTAGGAAGCTCTGCCTCAGTTCTAGAATACACTGATATCTGTCTAGGCTTAAGAGGATGCGGGGAGGCAGGGGAGAACATCACTGGAGTTACCAGATTGGAATGACGTACAAAAGCTGGGAGGAGCAGATGCTTTTTGTTTCACTAGGTGTGTCAGGGAAGCCCCTTTCCTCCTCAGAGGGCATCTGGGAAGGGGCTAGGTTTTGCATGCTCAGTTCCATGCCCTGGCATTTCATTTGCGCTGAGTTCATCTCCCTGCAATTCCATCCCTCTCCACCTTGGGTGAGGGCAGAGATGAAGATCTGGAGTGAAGCAGCCCTCGTCCCCTGAGCACTTCCCTAATTCCCTGTGGAACTGAGATGTGATGGACGGTCAGAAGTGCATCTACTGAAGAGGAGCCAGGGCCTGCTTGTACTACTTACTGCTATCATTTTAGGGGGTGGGCATACAAGCTTGAGGCCCGCAGACCAGCGATTCTCTTGAACTCTTCTAAACAAGCCTTTGGTACCCCATTCCTCTCGGGGCTGAGGTCCCTCTAGGCTGTCTCTTCCATTTCTTTCTTAGATGTTGTATGTTGCCTCTTCTGCTCCCTTGCCCCTCCTTTGTGTCTCTATGCATGGGCAAAAAAACATCCCCAAGGCCCTCTGAGTAAAAAACAAGGGACTCTGCTGTCCACAGCATTACAGCCACTCATGCACGTGCAGTTTATTTCCTTCCTCTAGAAACACAACTGTAATCTCCTCTGGCATGTTATAGTAATCAGTTCATGTACCTTAAATGGTCTCTAAAAAAACCACAATTCACCACCTTACTGAGTCTGTCTGGTCTGTCAGTGGATGGGGAAGGGTTGGGATACCAAACTGGTTCTGGAACATCTTTTTTGTCACTTCCATACTATGCGCACATCTGAAGTTCTGGCCCTCAAAGCAGTGGGTAGTCTTCCATTGCAATAATGGTTGTTCCAATTGTAGTGGAACTACATGCTGGACTGACTCTGCGCTAAGTCTGTAAAAAGATACATGAACCAGCAGCTCTGGGGGAAGACTCTGCCCAAACCAACTATTTCCAGCCACTCTAATGCATGGGGAGGTAATCCCCTGAATGGGAGGGTGTGTTGCTGGTAGCTCTCATTTGTTGGGCTGTGCTGCCTTTGAGTTTTAGTAACCTATCCTCAGGTCCTTAAACCCAGAAAACAATTCTCCATTGGGGTTGGAGTGGTGTTGGGACATGTTCATGATCCAAATGGAGAGCTCCAAGAGCAGGGTGCTGTTCACAGCATATATCTTGGAACATGGCTGGAATAAAGGTGAGTACCCCCTTGTTTTGCTTCACTGTACACTTGAAACTCATTAAAAAAATGACAGCTTTGTCCAGTGTGGACTTATTTTAAAATGAGGTACTTGTGCCCTTATCTGCCCCTGTGCTTACAAACTTTAGGTTGTAAAACAGTACTCCGTGTGGCCTGTGGTTTCCTCATTATCATCTTTGTCCAGTCTTAAACTTATCACCAAAATCATACCAGAACAATGTATCATCAATGGTGAATTTGGAGCGGTACAGTTAGGCTAATACTTTGAAAGATGAAAGCCTTCTTGAGAAGGGGAGGTGTCTGGACTGGCTCGTGAATTAAAGCAGTATGTGCAGTCTAAACTTCAGTGCAACCTGAATGAACTCGTGCCATGATTCCTGCCAAGTTCTGTGTTGTCTTCCTGTTAGCGCTCAGCCTTGTTCATATAGGGAGGTAAGACAAACATCCTTAGATGTGTTTCCAGACCATAGACTATGCATTCTCTAAGTCCCTAGCCAAACCTAGGGACTTAAGTGCTCACTTGACAAAGCTGGCCAGCAGCTCTGGAGCACAGAGCGCTAGAAGATGCGTCAGGCTTGTTCCCAACAACCATGTGCAAGTTTGCAAAAAGAGTTGCATGTCTAACCATAAATCCTCCTGCAGGTGTTTAAAGTACCATGCTCTGCTGGGAACTCACCTGAGGTGACATCCTTTAAACCATCGGCACCTCTGCTGCTCCTACAGTGTCTGTTATCCTGGATAAAACATGGTTTTAAACGTGTACTAAAAGCAAGGCTAAGGCTTTGACAGAGTAGTTCTTCATATGTCTAATTAGAAATTCAAGCTCAGCCTTTAAACGTGCAGCTCCCATATCAACTGCTTCATCCCAACACCTTCAATTATGCTGCTCTTAAATGGATATGTCTTAAAACCTTCATCTTTGTAGATGCCTAGGCCTTGCTCTGGCCTTTCCTGAGATTTCTATGCACTGATCAAAGTAGGCTGCATGCTCTCAGCAGCAGCGGGGGTGGTGGTGGGTTTTTGTCTCAGCTGGAGAGTA